CTACAACTCAATTCATCACAGTCACGAAATTCTATTCCAACAAAACAATCGATTACATCAAGCATTTCAAAGGACGAATAAGAGATCAAGTAAAAGCATGAACTGAAGAGGGACTTTAGTTCATGCAAAACCACATGAAGAGAACTAAAAAAAACCTATCCAACCATTATTCGGTTTAATATTCTCATTCCCACACAATTTGATACTTGGATTTATTTAGTTTTTAAAAAACATTATCATTGGATTATTTTTTTTTAAAGTAATTGATCCTAAATGACCCCAACGTTAAATACACAATGTTATGTTCATATAAAAGAAAACAGAGAATCAATATAGTGTATGTCAATTGAACATCAAACATTTTCCGCGCGTAGCGCGGACATCGGATCTAGTCTCTTTAAAAGAAGTCATGATTTTCTGCCACAATCGAGAAAGTTGTTAAAGAATCAAACATCTAATAAATTAAAAAAAAAAAGAGAAATGAGGAATAATGAAAATACTATTTTCTTCTTTATATTTTACATAAAAATAGAGTAATTTTATTATAGAGTTGAATTTGGTTCACACCATAATAGAATAACTCTATGATAGAGTGAACCATTGGAGAAAATTCAACACTATAATAGAATTACTCTATTTTAGTGTGAAATATAGAGGATAAAATAGTGTTCTATTGGAGATACCTTTAGACAGTGAAAGCGTTTCTGATGCCTAGTTGGACCTGCACTTTTTAATTTTATTTTGGTTGACCAAACTGATTTTATTAGAGATCGGCCTTGTTGGGTCAACTTTCACTTCATTTGAAGTCTCGTAGGTTAAATCATAAGTACACTAGAACGTGTATAAATTAATACTCGATAAATTAATAATCTTTCTAAATTAATAAATTTGGCCGGTCCCAGGTTGGGTCGGTTCAAAATTTGACACAAATCGATAAAATAATAAGATAATAAATTTTTAGAATTATTTTTTGTAAATATATGGTCCCATTAAAATTATAAATTAATAATTTATATTTATACATATTTTATAAGTAAGAACCTATATTATATTATTTATTTTATATTTACAACGAAATTATTTTTATATTTTCTTGATATTTAATATATTTTTGATGAGATTTAGTAATATTATATCTAAAACCATATTTAAATTCTATAAAATATATATTATATACACCAAATATATAATAAATTTAATATAAATGTCAAATTTCAAAAAATGATAATAAATATCTATACGCTAAAATAAAATATTTTTCTTATTTTAGAATATATATATCTTAACATAAAAAATCTAAATAAGGAAATTTTGATAAATTAATATCTATATAAATTAATAAATTTTCAAAGTCCTGGCATTATTAATTTATAGAGGTTTAACTTTACAATGTAGAAATTTGTTGATGTGCCTTGATTTTGGCTTTTGCATTATATTATTGGATAGGGGGATTTGGGTGTGTTTAAAAAAAACATTTATAAAAGAGAGTTCCTAAATGGTGTGGGCTTGACATCTAGAGATGCTTTGTTTAATTTAACACAATTTAACACTGATTATCCCATATTCATGGCTACAAATTTAACACAAGTTGGACCTGCACGTTTTAATGTTCAATTTAATACAATTTAACGCTGATTATCCCATATTCATGGCTAAATTTACGTAAAAATACATAAAAATACATAAATTATCTTTATAATTAATATTTCATTGTGTGTTTAATAAGTTTTAAATCGTTTTCTGATTTATATGTATAAAAATAAATAACATGTGTTTTAAATCGTTTTCTGATATATATATATATATATGACTTTGCTCAGAAACTGCCTTACTTTGCTCAGTTATTTTTTTAAAGTATTTGATTACATCTATTCCTCTAAATTAGACCATACTTATTTTAATATTCTAAAATAGACTAAAATCAGATTTAACCTTTTTCTCCTGCGTTTAGTTTGGTTTTGTATCTCAAATTTATATATTTTGTTTGATTATTTATACCTTGATATAAGTTATTCTGGAAAACAAATAGTTAATCATCATTGGTTTAAAATTTAATTTGCAGTTGATCTTAGTAGTGACTAGTGAGACCATTCATTAAAATAGTATCATTTTATTTTTCGGTGCTGACTTTTTTTTTTGTCATCTTTTCGGTGCTGACTAAACACATATTTTGTGTATATAATCATGAAATTAATGCTGACTTCGCATTTTAGCAGTCTAATTTAGTCCATATTTTCTAATTAACCAAAATTATTAAAATCTCTCTATACCTGTTATAATTGTTCTTATAATTCTTCATAGCTTGGTAAACATCAAACGCTACTACCACATGTCCTTTGACTAATAGATTTTCAGTTAACTTCTCAAAGTCTTTTCGTTCAGCTTGATTAAATCTCATTGGCATGTGGTGAACGACTGTTCTCCACACATGCTTTTAATCAACTACCAAAATTAGAATCTAACATCTAAAAACATCTTAGATTTGAAAAAATAAACATTGAGTGTAAACAATGATTTATATTCTCTTACCTACAAATGATAAAGAACCTAAATAAATAACCTACACAGAATGATGAGTAAAATAAAAATACTTTAGTAGTTAATGTATAAGTTTTAGCTTATTAATGATAATTTTTTTAATTAATCACTATACAAATTAACGTGAGAATGACTTATAACAAAATTAATTTTTCAAATAATACTACAGATACATCCTGTCATCGCAAGCATGAGATTAAATAATTTATTGTTGATCTTAGTATTAAAACCAAATCATTATAGTATTACCATTTGTATTTTTGGTATGGTAAAGGAATATGAGAAATAAAAAAAAAGAAATGAATGAAAGGAAATAATGCAAGAGGAAAATTTATTCCTCTCCCAATTCAATAAGGAATAATTATAATATATTATTCTTTAAATGTTACGGAATATTAAAGAATTATAAAGATCAAATATTCCTTGTAAATGATGTAAATTAAAAGAAACTATAAGGAAAGTACTATTCCCACTCATTCTTTTGTTCACCGTTTAGAGTTATAATTTGTGGATAAAGTATTACTGAAATTGATGTGCATAAAATCTTAACACCAGTTATAATTAGGTGAATTTTAACTTGATATCTTCTACTAGGGATAGAATCAGAAGGTAAATATCAGACCAATAAACAAAATAAAAATCTTCTAATTCATATTCTGAAGAACATGAAACCTAATCAGCAAATGAATATATATTAATAATAGAAGATTTCTATAAAAAGAAACATATTCGAGTCAAGAATAAAGACACATGGACTGTTTTCACAATCATTTACTTCAAGAAAAAGGAAGCTTGTATGAATTGCAATCAAACAAAGTTGTTACAACTAGTGAAACTTCTATACGATTCAAAAGAAGTGACATATTGTCGTGTGTATTGAATTGTTATTACGCATTAGTTAATTTTGTGCCATATACCGACTGGGTTTAGTTGGAGATAGAAGTGGATGGCCCTTGGCGCTTGTGTTTTGATTTTGCTGCAAAATCCAACTACAAACCACAGACCACAGTCATGCTCAAGGTGCTTAGATCGCCATAGATTTTGATCTTTCCATGCATTTTCTTTGGCATAGCAATGGGTAGGACCTCACAACCCCTATCTTGTAACGCATGTTTTTTTGTTTTGTTATTTTCTCGACTACTTGTATCAAACCACAAGGTCGAATGGTAATCTAATACAATTTGTCATTTATATAAAAAGACTAGATTTTTCCGTGTGGAAAATGTTAATCAATGCACATCAATGAATGATTTAAAAACAATTAAAGGTCTTACCTCCGTTTACTATTTATATATAGTTATACAAAGTCAAATTTATATTAGCTTTACAAATCTATCTTATTAAAGTAGAAGTACTTTAACCTTTTGTTTGGAAACATGGATAGCAGTATTTAAAATAAGTAAGTTTGGAAACATAGATATCAATATTTAATAAGATCTGGTATTTATTGTTACAAAGATTTGTTATTTATTTAAAATCGTAAATATAATTAATTTTAGTCACTAACAATATTTAAGAATATTCGTTTTTAACAATAATTCGGGTCGGATTACGGGTCGGATTTCCGGGTATTTTTATTTCGGTTTGAATTTCGGGTCGAATTTTTTGGTTCGAAAAATTGAACCGGACACAAATAAATTTATATAGATAAACAAACAGTTTCNAAAAAAACTAAGAACGTAAAGAACCTAATAAAAGCTGAACCGAAAATCACAACCCAGTCCTATTATATTCAATATGATAGTTCACATACAACGTGGATCACAATATCTTAAACACAGTAATAATCGATGAGTTCTGAATTTATTACATTTTCTCAAATTAAGTTAAACCCGCGCCGGTGCGCGGGTCAAGATCTAGTTCCAATTTATATTAGCTTTATAGAGTTAATAACTAACAGAATCTACTATGCTTAAAGACAAAACAAAACAATAAAAGTGAATAGAAACTTTTTTTACACTCTTATTACTTCCTCAACCACACCTTGCTAGTGCCACCACTCTTTTAACACAAGTGGGAATATTTGTCTCTCCTTCGTTAAAATTGATATCACCAATGATAACAAAAATCTTATTACTTCTTGCTACTGCTACAACTCTCTTTTTAACACAAGTGGGAATATTTGTTATTACTCCATCACAACAATTGACATAACAAATAATAACAAAAAAACTAGCCTTCAAAAAGTAATTCTGATACTGTACGATTCTGTTTCCATCATTCATTCTCTCAAGCTCTTATGAGGCGCAGAAGTAAGGTTTTTGTTTCATTCGTATTTGAGAATTTTCAGACTGATTTATTGCTAAAATTATCGTTTTTTCTTGTTTTGGATTGATTAAATCCTAGAATATTTTCAGATGGATCTTGGATGAAGGATTTTGTTGTTGCTATAACATATTCACACACATGCAAATGTTGTTCTGTAAAACGCACTTGGGATTTTGGAAAAGTAAAACACATGCATGATCCATGTTTATGTTTTGAAATATTTTGATCAGCAGGAAATGGAAAATGCGACAGAAGCGGTGACGGTTGTTGAACAGGATGAACAACGTGAAGTGATGGGACAAGGGCAGCCACAAAACCCACCACCACCTTTACGACGACGTTTTATTATATCTCTTTACGTAGGATATTTTCTTGCAAGATGGTGTGTCAGGTAAATAAATATTTTCATCTCCTATTTTTGTTTTTTTTTTTGAAAAGGGTAATTTGAACAAAACAAAACAAAAAAGGGTAAAAGTGTGGAGTAGTTTTTCAGTCAAAAATTAGTTCTATTATTTTATTCTTGGTTTTCTTAGTTGATTTGAAATCTTGAATGGGTTCAAAGTTGGTTTATAAGCAAAAGAGAAGAAAAAAAACACTCTATATTGTTAGATCATTGGAATATGGTGGATACACTTTATTTTTGTCACACTGTCTTCCATTTCAATGCAGAACTTGGGAGTTCTCAGTTGCTTTGTATATGATCTACTTGTGGCCAAACTCTTTGCTTCTTGCGGCCATATATGGTGCCATAGAATCTGGTTCTACTGCGATCTTTGGTCCCATTGTGGGGCAATGGATCGAGGGAATGGACTACGTTAGAGCTCTTAGACTCTGGCTCTTATGTCAGAACCTTTCCTACACCATTGCTGGTGGCGCAGTCATCAAGTTGCTACTAGATTACGATCTTAAACCCAGGAACATCCCGGTCTTTGCAACCTTGGTAGTGTTGACAAATGTTGCTGGCTCCATTGGTGTGCTTTCCACTCTTGGTGGCACCATTCTGATCGAACGAGACTGGTAATGTTTGTTTTTTTCACGTGATTTATGCATACTGCATGCAATTTTATTTAGCTCTTTTGACTACCAAACAGGGCTGTGGTTATGTCGGAAGGTTATCCACCAGAGGTACTGACAAGAATGAACTCTGTCATTAGAGGCATTGATTTAAGCTCAAAACTACTCTCTCCAGTCATCACTGGTCTCATCATTAGCTTTGTCTCCCTGAAGGCGTCAGCCATCACTTTTGCATTTTGGGCCACTATAACCGCTTGGGTTGAATATTGGCTCTTCATATCCGTATATAATGGTGTTCCAGCGATAGCTCAAAGCAATGAAAGACGGATCTTGCGTTCCATGACAAAGCCAGTACAAGGATTAGATGCACCTGTTTCTATTGTTCCGGAGGGTTCTCAAGGAAACCCACCGCGTGAAACTGGAATGCTGAAGCTTCTTGATGGAGTATCCAAGTCATCTTTTGTTGGAGCGTGGAGAGTTTATATCAATCAAGAAGTTGTACTCCCAGGGGTTTCACTAGCTCTCTTGTTCTTCACCGTCCTCACGTATGTTTTGGATTTGTTCACATGAATGGTTCTTACGTGAATGTCAAGTAAAATGGTGTTTATTGGATCTCTTTAATGCCTTGACACAGCTTTGGAACGTTGATGACGGCTACATTGCAATG